GGATCATAAACTGAACAGTTCTTCATCATGCATGACAGTGTGTTAAGATTAACTACATAGTTCCCTAATCTACTATTAATTTAAAAATCGTTTAAGACTAAGACTTAGTTTGAGTACACAGATGGCACTAAAAATATGATTCAGGTATTAAATTAAAGCCATTATGCTGTAAATGATGCCTCTGAAGAAAGATATGAGAAAAGTGCAATGTTTCAGGTGTGGTGGAGTGGGAAAGATACAATGTTGTCTATGGAAGGCAAGCAACAAACATAGGCTGCTTGCATCTAGCAATTTAGGTTTTCTTAACTGTTTGAACAACCTGTTGCTCATCACTACTGTGAATTCCTGCTTTATTTGCTAATTACACCGTTAAGACATTTTACAGATTTTTTTTCAATAAATTAGTTTTGTCAATATGAACCATAGCACCCTCCACCAACTTTTAGCGTCAATCTGTTTTTACTATTATTTTACTATTACTTCATGATGAGGCCAAACAGGTGATTCTAACCATTCAATTCATTATTTTATGCTGATTGACAGCTTTCAACAAATCTACCAACTAAAAGAAGAATAAACACGAACATATGATTGTTGCTAGGTTAAGAGTTTTATAATAACCAATGAGATTGCCATGAGGAGGGTTGATACAATACTACCTCACTGTTAATCCTAAACCCTTCCAGTTGAAGTTGGAAAGCCTTGTGAATGCTAAATTGCCACCCTGGGATCCAGATGCAAAACTGAAATAAACCATTGAAAAAGAGGACTGAGGAGAATCTTGGAGGACTAGGAGAATCTTGTTCATTTGTGAATCTTTGTTTATTACATCAATGTTCCCATGCAACTCTCCCACACTTTTCCCACAGCTATGGGTTGCACTGTTCAACTTGCTACAATCATAGGTCATGCAAATGTGACAAGAACAAACTGGTGAAAAGGGGACTCCATTGTTTAAAGAAAATTTAAACAAAACATTCTTATCAATTATTTCTGTCTATTAATTCTGTTACTTTTGTTAAACTTTGGTTGTGGTACCTGAGAACTGGTAGATATGAATCACCAGCAAATAATCTGGAAAATATTTGCTATAAATGATAATCTTTATGTCAACTTGACTGCCAAATTTTAAATGAGCTTATTGTATTTTAATTAAATAAAACTGTTGATTATGATGGATTCCTATTAGTTTTTTTATAATTCAAATGCAAGTATCAAGTGAATATGTATTTCATATACATTAAATGGTTAGCTTATTATATATGGCTATAATTAAAAGGGCTTAATTATAGCTGTAAATAATAGGCTAACAATTTAATGCATTGTTAACTTTGGAGCTAGAAATATATTTAATTTAATTGTTATTTTGTGATTCATTCCTGGAATATATTACAATAAAAGTTTAAATTACTCAAATTCTAAAGAATTTCATTTAACAGTCTCACTTCCATAATAAAAATAGAGCATTCCTACTGGCAATGAAAAAAAAAAAAAACACTTAATAAATTCAAGTATCAATCATGTATTATTTAAGAATGAAAACATTTTTAGAGACTTCAAAAAGATCTTGAAAAAGGTTTCATTCTTAAATATCTTGGTTTCTACAATCCTGCAAGGGTTTGATTTTGATTTTTGTTCAATTAATTTAAATGAATTAATGTTTAATTTCTTATATATATAATTATATACACACTAGCTTGTTACATCCAGCATTGCCCAAGTTTATAAGCATACTGATTTGCAATAATTGTTATACCTGGCATTATTAACTTGTAAATTTAAAAATGTATTTGGTAAAACCCATTACATTATCAGAATACTTATAAACTACATAGGAAGTATGTCCTCAAATAGCGAGTTTTATAGAAAAATTATTAGAATTATGAAAGTACTATTCAAAGTTGTTAGATGTGAAAAACCAAATAATTACAGTTTTCACAGTGTAACACTTTTGATTTGACACATGTGAGGCTATGTGCTACCCATTGCAGTAATTAAGTGAATATAATATTTTTTTTTGTTTGAATTAGTCTTTTTTTTTTTAATTTCTTTGCCAACAGATGGCACTACACATGTAGCCAGCAATTTGAATATAGACAGAAATTAATTGATGTATGGAAATTAAATCAATACTTTTGATTGGTATCTATGACATTATCTAAGTTATAAGTATGTTAATGTAACTGCAGTTTCACAGCTTCCTACTACAGTTGGAATCAGTTTTGCTAACAGAAGATCCAACTCAGGTTTTGAGAAAATTAAAGATTATCACTAAGTTGGGAGTAATGTTAACATTATCTAGACCCCTGGATCCCCCCAGCCAACATAGTGTCTCAGATTAAATTTTTGAAGTAAGGACACACAAATCTGCTTGGCTCTTTTGTCCTTTGGCAAACAAACATTTCAATTCAACCTATCTTTTAGCATAGGCTCTTGATAAGAAAACTACTGCACTAGTTCCTAGCTCCAATCTTGCTTCTTCTGCTCTTGAGGCAAAGTCAAGTTTATAACTAGTATCATTGGGGCTACTCCTCCATTTGTACTATTTTTACAAAACAGATGTAGTCTCATTATACCAGTCTATTCCCCACTTTGAAACAGTCATGCTTACAAACACTATTGATGAGAATGGGCATTCCATACCACAAATAATGGGCTTAAGGGAGGCTCTTATTAGTTACTAAAAATAACTTTGTTTCAATGGCAGTTTTTATTTGCAGAAACAGGCAAGCTATAGAATTCAAAGTGTTTCAATCTCCACTTTGTATGTGTTACCCACCCTTCTATATCTGTGGTAGGTGGATGATGTGCTGCTAACATGGGATGACTTGGATGAATTTTTGAAAAAAGAAAAGTCCAATGTGAATCTCTTGAAGTTACTTGTGTAAAGGTCTTTATCATTTCTTCCTCTTTAGTAAATAAGATGGTTGGGAAAACAGCTAACAAGAATTGTAAAAATTGTATAAATGTTAAGCCTTTAGAAAATTTGGGTATATACTACAACTAGCTATAGGATACTTTGCATTGATAGAGATGAAGTTACACTTTTTGAAAAGTCTGAAGTTTACAAAATCCACTAACTGGATCAAATTTGTTATATATAGGTACATAAATAAATATCACAAAACCCAATAAATTTGTAAAAGCCAAAACAACCACTGGATTATAACTGCAGAAAAGTAGATTAATATATTTAATTAATTAGGCACCATTTCTTATTAAATTTAATAATTACAATTAAATTAATATTTATTAAATAATTTAGAATATTCTGGAAGAAAAGAATTGGCCTGGAGTGGGAGTGATTCTTTGGAGATCACCTAATGCCTCCCTCTAGCGTCAAATTATTTAGTAATTAATTAAATATAAAATAATTTGATAACTGTCTAGCAGAGCATTGTGAAGATATTTCATGTGAGAGATGTGCAACAGAGCTAGCCAAAAAGTGATCGAATGTAACTTTGATCCTCTTTGGTCACAAGTTTTGCAAGTAAAATGCTGTGGGGATAGGAGAATCTTGTTCATTTGTGAATCTTTGTTTATTACATCAATGTTCCCATGCAACTCTCCCACACTTTTCCCACAGCTATGGGTTGCACTGTTCAACTTGCTACAATCATAGGTCATGCAAATGTGACAAGAACAAACTGGTGAAAAAGGGACTCCATTGTTTAAAGAAAATTTAAACAAAACATTCTTATCAATTATTTCTGTCTATTAATTCTGTTACTTTTGTTAACCATTGCCATCATATATTATTTTTATTTTTTAATGGCATATAATTTTGTATTTTTAAAATTTGTATGTTCCATGCTCATGCATAAAGAGCAATTTGAAAATTGTTTTCTCTAGATTTAAAACACTCCATCTGCCATATTACCTGAAGAAGACTTATACTGTCGAAAGTGCTCATACTCATTAATTAAACATATTTTCCAGTAACACCAATAGACAATTTTTATATGTTTGTTTATTGCTTGTAAGTGACATTGCTTGTTGTTTTTATCTCTTATATATAATTTGATTTTTTCCATAAATTGTGTGTGTGTGTGTGTGTGTGTGTGGTTTTAAGTTTAAAATCATTTACAGAACCAAATATACTATTTTAATAAAATAGTAATTTACAAATTCAATTAATCCAATAGACGAAAATTATTATTATTAATACAAGTCAATAAAATTTGATCAGCAAAATGAATATACTGTTACTAAATTAGGTCTCAGAAATATGCATTTAAAAATCAATTTCACAGCAACATTAACAAAATGAGCACTAACTAAATTACAGATATTTCAGCACATACTAAATTTCAATTTTAATAAAACACTAGTGAATTAGCATATATAGGGTGTGTTTGTTGTTGCTGTGATAAAATATTGCAGAGGAAACTCACTTAGAAAAGTGTCTTATTTAATTTTTGTTCAATCTTAAAAATGAAATAAAATACAGTACATTATAGACAAAATTTGTTTCTTGGCAAAATAAAAAATATTTCTTCTCAATAAAACAAATAAATAAAATAACAATATCTTTCAGTGTAATTACCAGTGTTAATGAACACACATGACGAACCTTTATGTCCAGCAATGTTTAAAATTCGCAAAACAAATGTTTTCAGCCTCACTCAAGGTACGGTCTGCTTCAGGTTAAATTGAGAAGGAATTCCAAACTTCTATACAAGGCCTTCTAAGTTTGGAATTCCTTCTCAATTTAACCTGAAGCAGACCTCAAGTGAGGCCGAAAATGTTCGTTTCGTAAATTTTAAATGTTACCAGACAAAGGTTTGTCAAGTGTGTTTAAATAAATAAATCTGAGTTTGTAAAATGACACAAATTTTTAATATTTTTCTATCATGAATGAATTCTTTATAGCTTAGTTCAGTTCAATATATTTAATATAGTATTTCAATTATAAAAAATTTTCTATTGGTTTAAAAGTACTGTGTATGGTGATAATTATTTTAATTAAAATTTTTTAAAGTAATTTATTGAATACATACCTTTATTGTTACCATTAACTTTGCCTGTTCTCTTACTAGAAAATATATAGGAGCAGAAATGGTAGGATCCCCAGTAAATTTATTGGGTGATTCTGTAGAACACTTTTCTTCTGCCTAAAAATAATAGCATGATAATCATTAATACATACATTTTGTAATATTGATTTTCATATTAGTTTGATACCATTATAAAAAATCTGTACATCATAATAGATAATAATAATTAAATTATAAGGTAATCTAATATTAAACAGTTTATAAAACTAAACTGTAATATTCAATATTTCATTCATTAAAAAACAAAATTAAAAAAAAAATTTTTTTAATTAAAAATAAATTTTAAAATAAAAATGATAAAATTAAAACTAATTCTTATTTTATTATTTTTACAGAAAATTGTTAAACAATCAAAACNTATGACATTATCTAAGTTATAAGTATGTTAATGTAACTGCTGAGTTTCATAGCAATTAGTTGAATGGCCTAGGTGTGCATAGCAAACAAACATCCTCATTTATATATATAGATTATATAAAACCATTTAAATGCCTTTATATTTGTTTTCTATATCTTAAAATTATTTTAAAATTAGACTATCATTAAACTGGCATCATTCTATACCTGGCCTAATATAATGTGATACTAATTTATGTGAATTTACTTTTTTCAATTGCTAGATCATACACAGTATATGTATATGAAATATTGTAACTATCTTAATGTTATATCCATATCATTTGCAAAAAAAAGTCAATTACAAATTTATCCATTATTCAAATAGGTTGTCACAAAAATTATATAACAAAAGAAATCTTATCCAATTAAATACTTCAAATAAATTGATAGAATTTGTATAGAGAAAAAATACATGTATAAAATAATTTTAAATAAATTATTTCATATAAGAATATTTTTGTGTTGAGAAAATTCATAAAAAATTAATATGATAGAAATAAAATTTAAAACTACTGAAGAAAATTTCCATGACTATTTACTGAAATTCTCGCATTTCCAGTAATTAATTTGTGAAAATTTGAATAAATTCAATTTTCAGGTTGTTTATGTTTAGAATAAGTTTATTTTCATGCATCTGTTTTTGATTCATATCTATATAATCTTAACAAAAATTTAAAATATAATTTAAAATTTTTTTTCCAAAATTCAAGCTGATATCACAAATTTCATGAGAGGATGCTAAGAAGCACACTATAAGAATGAGAGAGAAGTTACTACTAGAATGGATGCACTTAAGAGTCTGCTATGACTAATAGTCTTCTTAGTTCAACAATCTGAATTTACAATGCTGTACAAAGACTATAATTTAGCAAAATTGAGAAACACACTTTAGAACCCTTGCAGGAGCAAGAATTCAACAATACAGATATGCTAGTCCAATTTTAACAGCAAATCAAGAATTTGGGGTTAAAATTGTTGAGTCATACAGCCTATTCACGAGATCTGACTTCAGATTATCATTTTTTCCTAGCTTTAAAGAAATATCTGAAGGTTGTTCCATTCAGATCATTGGGTTGAGGCATAAAGTTCATAATTCAGAAAGTATTTTGTCTGTGATTGATGTTTAAAGCAAATCACACAACCACTAAATGTGACTTTTTGCAAATATGTACAACTTGCTAAGTTTGGTGTCATGACAGATCAAATTTCAAAATTTTGGTTTTATGAACTGATATCTCCAAGGTCAAAAATCACAATGTAATCATAATGTAATGTCTGGCCAACTGTAGGTTGCAATTTTTATCCCTTTTATTAATTTCTATATCTGTATATCTCAGATATAAAATAAAAAAATAAAATTTTCAGTATGTGAAAATGATATATCAGTGTTCCTGAAAAATGTCATTCTGACTCCTAGCCCCAATAATAATATATATAGTAGTATTGATAGAATAAAAATGAATAATACAAAAAATATAGGCAAAGTTGCAGGAATGGTCTACAATGTTCCATGTTTGTGTAAAAACAAAAAGTATATGAAGAAGAAACAGGAAGGCTTTTTAAATGTAGGTTAAAAGAGCATAAATGGCAACAAAATTAAAGCATAAGAATTCATCTCTCTTGCATATTGAAGAAAACGACTGTGATATACATAAACAAAACATTAAAATATTACATAAAGAAACAGACAATTATAAAACAAAAATTTATACTTTATACAGTTTGAAATTATAAAACATATCTATATATATATATATAAATGCACATGTATGTCCCTATATTTCACTTTTCCACCAAAACTACACATCGCACGTGAATGGTGTTTGTATGTGGTGGTAGCCCCAAGTCTCCATTCGTGAATAGGGGTGGTTGCGTCTCGATAGCTATAAGGGTGCGGGAGATATGAGGCTGAAAGTGGTTGAAAGTGGCTTTCTATTTTGAATGTTTTGTTCGAATCTGTTCAAATTAAATTTGAACATAAAATTAAAATATTGGTTCGATTATAGAACGATTGTAAACGTTCCAGAAACGTTGAAAATAGTTCGTTTGACTAAACGTAAAACTTCTCTAATTAGTCTGGAAACTGGGAACCTAATTCTTGCATTCTGTGAAAACGGGTAAGATTAGCTATAATGTAATTATCTTAATCTTCACTATCGTTACTTTTTGCCCAGTGAAGTGGGTCCTTGCAGCTAGATTCTAGATTACTCAGAAAAACAGTCTTTTATATATATAAAAAAAACTATATTACATACAAATGTACGAACAAATAAAAACCCAGCGAAGCGGGTCCTTGCAGCTAGTAATAATATAAATTTAAATAATGGTATATTAGTTAGTAAAAAGTATTACATCATTCCAGTTTGTATTATTGCAATTAGCCAATTCAATTTAATGAAAGAGGAGCTTTATAACCAACAGTAGTCTTTGTTGTCAGTATATGGTAAAAGAATGATCGGATGCCCTTTAAGATGTTAAAATAAATTTTTCTTCCCTAAACAGAATCAATGTTTACTTATATTTGTATCAATTATTAAAATATTTTTATATAAAATTTTTTGTATGTATGTTATGCAAATGGTGTGTAGTGGTTTGAAGTTTTATTTTATGTAGTTGTTGATTTGGTTTCTTGTATCATTGTAACATGATGTACTGAAGAGGGACTAAAGCCCAAAATGCATATACATTAAAAATTTTATTCAAATATATTGGATAATATCCTTGTCTGCTCAGTCTGCCATTTGGAAGAAATGTGACTATTTATATCGGAAATTGACAATTACATTATTTAGTTTTCTGAATTTTATGAAGAGTTTTCAGATTAATCATTATTATAACCCAATCCATAGTTTGTGAGATTTTTTTTTTGTAAAGTTTAAAAATAAAATTTAAGGAATGTTGTAAGTGAATAAAGTTTAGGAGTGATTATGTATATTAAAATATATTCACAATCTATCAAATTTCTCTTTTTTTTTCTGGGAAGTTGTAAACTTTGACACCTCCATACATTTAGATCTACAAATCTAAATAAGTCTTAGAAAATCACAAATATATCATCTGTTTCATATCTTTATATTTTGTATATATCTAATTTAGAAAACATGCTTAAAAATTAAATATATGAACTACAAAATCAATCATGCAAATTAAACTTTCAGATTACTTTTATTTTATGAAGACAAAAACTAATACAGGTATCTGAATTTAATTCTTAAAAAAAACTATAAAAACAGTTTTTTTAACTAATGAAGTTCATATTTATATTATTATACAGTAGTAAGGTATCAAGAACTATATATTCATATTTAAAAAATAATATATTTTTCATTAAAAATTTCCTGACCAATTTAGTATAAAAATAAAATATTTTAAAATAAAAAATTTGAAAATAGAAATACAAAAATAGAGTTTTAACTAATTCTATATAATATGGAAAACCAACAGCTACAGTTAGGGTTGTCAGAAATCCTTTATTTTAGATAAATTGTTCTTGACTTTTATTGAAATGAGGAGGAAAAATTGTGTCCTTTATTTTCAATTTTCAATGCCTGTATTTCATACTGGTATTGGTGGTTTTTTCACAAATATGTTGCCTGTGAAAAAATATATGAATTGGTATGTAAAGATTTATGTATCAATTCATATCCTTTCCCATAGAAAGTTATAACATAATTTAGAATTTAAAATTTTTAATGGTAAGCTAAATTTGCAAACAAACAATATGAAAACTATACATTTAATTTTAAAAAATTAAGTAATGTTTAGTTATTAACTAAAACTCATTCAAATTTTACTTTTTTGGAAACAGATGGAATGGAGTAAAAGTTGGAAATGGTTAATTTAATTATTTTTAAGTGTCCTTTAATCCAGTCAGAAATTTAGCAACCCTAATTACAAAACACATTAACTACAAATGTTCTTTCTACAGTGTTTATTGTATTATTAAAGTACTGGTAATAAGCATTTAAAAAGAAAAAATTGATAAAGGTAATTTCTGAAAGTGATTACAAAAACAATGATGTAAACCTTTAATGAAATATGTAAGAAAAATTATTTAAAGCATGTATCATTATCAGTCATTTGTAAAACTTAAATTGTGTAAATTATTATAATTATTTAATAACATCACCTTCATGAGTGACTTATTCCTATAGCTGAAATAATACTTGTAATTACAGAGCTAATTTTTTTAATATACAATCTAACTGTAAGTAAGAAACATCAAAATTTTGCTTCAGTAATTACATTCTGATATCAAATAAAAAACTAATTTTGTCATAACATACTACAAATAATAACTGAGTATTAAATTAGATGCTGACTAACACTTCATTCAGCTAAAAACATTATAATACAATTATTTTTAAATATTATTTTTAAATCTTAAAAAGTCAATGTAAAGCTAGATGATGTGCCAAATTATAAGGCTATTAAGAAGTTAATAATATGAAGTAATTTGTCTAGAATTATTAACTTAGTCTATTAATAGCTCAATAATTCAGTAGCTCATCTGGATTTAAATCAAAATTATCAGGTTTGTTGAGTTGTTTAAAAGGTAATGTATTTAACAAAAATTCTTTTTATATTTTTATACACAAGTTTTCCAAAAGAATTGAAAAGAAAAAAAAAATAATAAAATATATTGAAAATAATTGTAT